ATGCTACAACTGGGAAGGAAAAAACAATAATTACTATCACAAAAATACAAAAAAGTACAAAACTTACCAGTAAAGGTAAGTTCATAATTCAAATTCAGAATACCTCATGAGGTAATAGTGCTATGTAAAATTTTCAATCTTCTGGTATGAAGGTTTAAGGTCAAAATGATCAAAAAACAACAACAGCTACAATCAGTGGCTAAGAAACATACAATAGATACAAATGTAAATTAAGGCAAGAAAAATATAAATGGGGGGGTTGTGAGTCCAGAGTATTTTCCTGTGACCAGAGTTAAGTTACTATCAGCTTAAAATAGTTTACAATAACTACAAGACTCTCTTTATTAGCCCCAAAGTGGTAACCACACACACACACACACACACACAGAAATTACAGCAGATACACAAATGAGAAAGAGAAAGAAAATAAACCTAAGCATTACAGAAACCATTAATCCACAAAGGTAAATAACAAAAGAAAAAGGAAGAAACTAAGGATCTACAAAACAACCAGAAAACAATTAATAAAATGGCAGAAATAAATTCTCACAAATAAATAATAACCTTGAATACAAACAGATTAAACTCTCCAATTAAAAGATATACAATGGCTGAATGGTTAAAAAACAAGACCCAATGATATGCTGCTACAAGAGACTCACCTAACTTAAACACAAACATAGGGGCTGGCCCGGTGGCGCACTGCTACAGTGCACTGCTACAGTGCGCCGCTTGGGAGCACGGTGGCGCTCCCGCCGAGGGTTCGGATCCCACATACAGACCGGCCGCTCACTGGCTGAGCGAGGTGCGGGCGCAACACCGAGGTTTGCGATCCCGTTGCCGGTCCCGGTCTGGTACGGGCGCAACACTGAGGGTTGCGATCCGTTGCCGGTCACGAAAAAAGACAAAAAGGAAAAAAAAAAAAAACCACAAACATATACTGAAAGTGAAGGGCTAGAAAAAGATATTCCATGTAAACAAAACCAAAAGTGAACAGAAATAGCCATATTTATATTAGGTAAAACAGAATTTAAATAAAAAACTGTAAAAAGAGACAAAAAAAAGATCATTATATGATGATAAAGTGATCAAATTAACAAGAGGATATAATAATTATAAATATATATATGTATGCAACACTAGAACACCTAGATATATAAAGCAAATATTATTATACCTAAAGGGAGAGATAGACTACAATTCAACAATAGGAGGGTACTTCAACACCCACTTTTGACAATGGACAAATCATCTAGACAGAAAATAGACTAAGAAACAGCTGACTTAAAGTGTACCGTAGACCAAATAGACCTTACAGACATTTACAGAATGTTCTAATACAACAGCTGCAGAATACACATTCTTCTAAACTTCACACAGAATATTCTCCAGGATAGATCATATGTTAGGCCACAAAACAAGTCTATGCAAATTTTAAAAGATAGAGATCATATCAAGTATCTTTTCTGACCACAATGGTATAAAACTAGCAATCAACAACAAGAAAAACTTCGGAAACTTTATAAATACATGGAAACTAAACAACATGTTCCTGAACAACTTATGGATCAATGAAGAAATTAAATGTTAAATTAAAAAATTCCTTGAGACAAACAAGAATGAAAACACTCATACCAAAACTTATGGGACATGACAAAAGCAGTTCTAAGAAGAAGGTTCATAGCAATAAATGTATATATCAAAAAAGCAGAAAGATTTCTAATAAAAAACTTCATGATGCACCTCAAGAAATTAGGAAAACAAGAAACTAAACCCAAAATTGTCAAAAGGAAAGAAATAATAAAGCTCAGAGCTGAAATAAATAAAATAGAAACTAAAGAAACAATTCAAAACTGGCAAAATGAAGACTCGGTTTTTTGAAAAGAGAAACAAAATTGACAAACCTTTAGCTGGACTAACCAAGAAAAAAAGAAAGAAGGTTCAAACAAAATTAGAAATGAAAAAGGAATACCCCCAAAATATGTATAATCAATTATGCTTCAATAAAAAAGAGAAATGAAAAAAGAGACATTAAACTCATACCAAAAAAAACCCACAAAGGGTCATAAGAGACTATTATGAACAACTATATGCCAACAAATTCGATAACATAGAAGAAATTGATAAATTCCTGGACAAATACAAAACCAAGATTAAATTATGAAAAAACAGTAATTCTGAACAGACCAATAACAAGTGAGGAAATTGAATCAGTAATACAAAGTCTTCTATCAAAGAAAATCCCAGGACCTGATTGTTTCACTGATGAATTCTACCAAACATTTAAGGAAGAACTAATACCAATTCTCATCATATTATTCCAGAAAATTGAAGAGGAAAGAATACTTACCAACTCATTTTACAAGACCAGCATTACTCTGATTCCAAAACCGGACAAGGACAAAAACCAGAAAATTACAGGCCAATATCACTGACAAAGATAAATGTAAAAATTCTCCACAAGATACTAGCAAACAGAATTCAGCAGCACATTAATGAGATCATTCCTTATGATCAAGTGGGATTTATCCCAGGAATGCAAGCTTGGTGCTGTAGATTGGACACCCCCAGCCCTCCATTGAAGATTAAATCGCCACTTGATCAGGAACAAGACAAGAATGCCCACTTTTGCCACTTTATTCAACATAGCAATGGAAGTCCTAGCCAAAGCAATTAAACAAGAGAAAGAAATATAAGGCATCCAAATTGGAAAGGAGGAAATCAAACAGGAAGTCCCTGTTTGCACACAACATGATTTAATACATAGAAAAACCTTAACATGCCACAAAAAAACTGTTAGGTCTAACAAACAATTTTAGTAAAGTTGCAGGATACAAAATCAACATCCAAAAGTCAGTACCATTTCTATATACTAATACCGAACTATCTGAAAAAAGAAATCAAGAAAATAATCCCTTTTACAATAACTGTAAAAAAAAATGATACCCTTAGAAAAAACCTAACCAAGGAGGTAAAAGACCTCTACACTCAAAACTATAAAACTTTGAAGAAAGAAATTGAAGAGGACACAAATAAATTGAAAGATATCCCATGTTCATAGATTGGAAGAATTAATATTGCTAAAATGACCATTCTATCCTAAGCAATCTACAGACTTAATGCAATCCCTATGAAGATACCAATTACATTCTTCACTGAAATAGAAAAGGCAATCCTAAAATTCATATGGAACCAAAGAAGACCCGAAAAAGCCAAAGCCTGAGAAAAACAAAGCTGGAAGCATCACATTACCTAATTTCAAATTATACTATAAAGCTATAGCCACATAGACCAATGGAAGAGGATAGAGAGCCCAGAAATAAATTTACTCACCTAAAGCCAACTGGTCTTTGACAAAGATAAATTTATTTTGGGGCCAAGAATACATATTGGGGAAAAGACAGTCACTTCAATAAATGGTGCAGAGAAAAAAGGATATCCCCATGCAGAAGAATCAGACTAGACCCCTACCTCTCATCACAAACGAAAACCAACTGAAAATGAATACAAAATTTAAATGTTCAACCCCAAACTATGAAACTACAAGAAGAAAACATAGGGGAAATGATTCTTGACATGCAGGTGGGCAAGGATTTTTTAAAAAAGACTTTAAAAGCACAAAAAGCAAAAATAGACAAGTGAGATTACATCAAACTAAAAACCTTTTGCACATCAAAGAAAACTGTTAACAGAGTGAAGAGACAGAATGGGAGAAAATATTTGCAAACTATACTTCTGACAAGGGGTTAATATCAAGAATATATAAGAAACTTAAACAACTCAACAGCAAAAAAACAAAAAACCCAGATGGGAAATGGGCAAAGGATCTTAATAGATATTTCTTAAAAGAAGGCATATTAATGGTTAACAGGAATATGAAAAAATGCTCAACATCACTAATCATCATGTAAATGCAAATCAAAACAACAGAGATACCACCTCACTCCAGTTAAAATGGCTATTATCAAAAGTCAAAATAAAACAAGTGTTGGTGAGGATGTGCAGAAAGGGAACACTTGCACACTGTTAGTGGGAGTGTAAACTAGTATAGCCATTATGGAAAACAGCATGGAGGTTACTCACAAAATTAAAAATAGAATTCCTATTATGATCCATCAATCCCACTACTGGGTATATACCTAAAGGAAATGAAATCAGTATGTTGAAGAGATATCTGCACTCCCATGTATACTGCAGCACAATTTACATTAGCCAAGATATAGAACCACCCTAAGTGTCCAACAACAGGTGAATGGATAAAAAATATGTGGTGTATATATATATATACACAATGGAATACTATCCAGTTATAAAAAAGAATGAGGTTCTGTCATTCACAGCAACATGGATGGACCTGGAGGACATTATGTTAAGTGAAGTAAGCCAGGTACAGAAAGACAAATACCACATGATCTCGCTCACATGTAGAATATTAAGAAAAAAAAAAGGTGATATTATAGAGGCAGAGAGTAAAACAGTGTTTACCAGAGACTGGGGAGGGGAGGGAGGAAGGCAAAACAGGAAGAGGTTGACCAACAGGTACAAAATTATAATTAGATAGGAGAAACAAATTTTGGTGTTCTATTGCACAGTAGGGTGCTATGGATAAGAGTTAAGTTTTGCATATTACACAATAGCTAGAGGGGAGGCTTTTGAATGTTCTCGCACAAAGAAATGATAAATGCATGGTGATGGATATACTAACAACCCTGACTCAATCATTATACAACATATATGTGTATCAAAACATGAGATTGTACCCCATAAATATGTACAATTATAATGTGTTAACTATAATAAATAAAGAGAAAGAGGGAGGGGAAAAAGTCAGAAAACTGGCCTGAAAAGTAATGAGAAAAGACCTTTCTTGTTGTGTGCCATGAAAGTAATAACAGGATACTTATCTTAAGAAAGCCTAAGACTATAAACAGATAAGATTCCACCAGGACTTTCAAATGCTGTCAACAAGAACTAATTAGTGAAATATAAAGCTGTCATACCTCCATGCAGGTTTGCGGACAGTACAAATGGATAGGCCTTCATCCAGCTCATTACAGCAATAGTTTCTGGTTGGGTAGGATCTGTGATCTGAACAAACTGGTCTGGGAAATTTCGGTTTAGGTCAAAGTTGTTGCTGTTGTTTCTGCCAGTTACGCCTATTGAATCTCCTGCATCACAAAGAATTCAAATTTAAGCCATGTTCTACTTATATTTTAACCCAACACATACGACCTTCAGCCACCTTAACTCAAAAGTAAGTGTGAACACATCAGGCTTCACTATTATTAATAATACTATGGTTAAAACACATCTTTTTCACACTGTGCATTTAAAAAATGCATCTCTTCCAGATCTTTTGAACAGAGAGGTAAAACTATTACCCTTTTGGTTTTGCCCTTTGGTCATACTTTGAGAGGAAAAAATTCAATCATACAAATTATATTACAACATTGCTCAATTGTCAATAATCCACATATAATGACATGAACACAACGTTAAGGGGCATTACTGATCAGAGGGGACTCTATCATACTTGCATACAGCTCACTAAGACATGATAAGAAACAGATCAAAAGAAAAGAAAATTGTGGTGTGCATACATTAAAGTGATCATGAAAAGGTAAAGTTATACAAGAACAAAGTTGGAAGTTTAATCTGGTGGAGGAAGGGTTCAACTTAAGCTTAATTGTGCATATTCCATTTTAATATAGGGTGGGAGCCCTATCATTGTGATTATAATGAGGAAAAATGAAAGTGAATGAAGAAAACTGGACAGCTCACTAGCTGTAATTAGTTCCATCTTTCAGAAATGTTTGAGGAGGAACATGGGAGAGATTTGTGATGAGGTCACAAAAAGAATGAGGTCCTTAGGGAAAGAATCTGAATAATAGTATAAGGGTTAACTTGAGCCTATTCATCGAAGAGCACTTCTGGGTATTAATGACCAGTTGATTTTCCTTTTGTCAGGTCAGTGAGAGTAATAAATCATGTGGTTGCATATTCATATTGTGCTGCCTATTCTGCTGACAGGTATCACTGCCTAGAAGGAATTGTGGGCTGGGAAAAGATGGATTCTCATTCTGCTAGTGTTGTACATAAAGTGGTCTGTGTAAGCTTGCTCTTCCAGCCCTGACTATATTGTCCCAGGAGAGACAATGGGCTTGCCCAGAGGAGGCAGAAGAATGAGAAGTCAATAATTTAGCAGGTTTAGAATATGCATGCCGTGTAGAACTGAGTCAAATCAGAATCACTGGCTTCAAAAGATATCTGGCTTGATTTTTCACTTACGAAATAAAGTTCCCAATACAATAACTTAATAAGAACTACTGTTAAAATGGAACAATTGGTAAAAATCTTATACTACTTTTAGTAAATAAGAGCCATTGCCAAAGTGCCATAATTATTGAATGGACTGGCCTACCTTACAAGAATAGAAAAGCTAAAACCAATAATACATTATAAAACTAAAACAGGAAGAAATTCCAGAGAAACAATCAGGTCAAATTCTTTTCTACCCCCAAATAATCATGCCATATGATAATCAAAAGATTAAGCATTAACAGACAGCTATTCTTTACCTTCCTGGGACTTTTCATATCCATCAGGATTCATGGATGGCATAAGGTGAATTCTAGTACTACGAACCAAATCTGTTACTTCAGTGTCTGTTCCAAAGTTCTTACAAAGATATTCGATGAGGTTCAACAGCAGTTCTCTCCCAACCACTTCATTTCCATGCATATTTCCAATGTACTTAAATTCTGGTTCACCTGAAAACAAAATAATTACATGGAAAACTTTTTTTTCCTTTTCAGTTATCATTGACTCTCTTGGGTTTTTCCCTCAACATATGTGAATCCTGAACTAAAAATTAAAGGAAGCATTTATTTTGGCAAAGGAAGCAGGAAAAACCTTCATAAACATCTAATAAAGCAGCTTCTTTACTAATATATACATCTGAGCAGGCTCAAAGCATATACATGCCAGATAATATGAAAATAAAAATACTATTAGCAGAAGAAATCTAATCTATGCACATATTAAATACTATGCCTAATATGAACAATCAAATGGATTTTCTTCTTTTCTGGGAAAAAAAATGGCTAGATTTTCTTTCATTCTTTTAGTTCCAGTTATACATGCTATCAGTAACCTTACAGAATGAAACACAGCAATACAGTACATAGTTTTGAGAGGCACTACTGAAATTATGTATAAGACCATACCAATTACCTGGTTCATGGACACCAGGATTATCAGATATCTCCATCACATAAAGCTCTCTTGACTCCACTGATTTTCCCAATGAATAAAGCCGAGTGATGTTAGAATATTCATTGGCAAACCTTCTCAAGAAGATTTCCATATCAGGGAAATGATGGTGGTGAAAGTCCTTTGGCTGAATTGGCTGGTAGGAAGATGATGTTTCAGAAGGAATATTAGGTATAGCAACTGTGCTAGCAGTTGCGACAGCCTCAGTTGTATCAGGGATTAGTGAAGTCACAGTTGGCCGAAGGGAAAAATCCACCTGTGTGGCTGGTCCTTCTTTCACCACTATATTATAAACAGTCAATGGCATATACCTAAAAAAAAAATGTTTGAAAGTGTAGATGGCTTGGAGTTAAGAAACACAATGCATTAACATTATAAAAAGCACAGTAGCCTTTTCATACTCTTGCACTGAGTGGTCTATCAAAACTCAAACTAAATAAAGATAGATGTGTAAATTTAAGAGATTTAGGATGTTATCTCACGGAGAATCTCAGGTTAAGTCTTTAAAGACGTATTATTTCTCTTACCAAATCTTCTGAGGTACCACACACTAGAATGCTTACAGAAAATTACATTCAGAGGAAAGAAGGAGGTTGTTACTCCATTATAACTACTGCTACAATATTCAAAGAAGCAATAAATTATCCAATTCTTTGCAGTGCCTTATCAAATTGACATTCCAACTTCTTTCCCAGGTAGGAAAGTTCAAAATTAAATTAAAGGTTATCAGTTAAATCCTTATCAAAGTGAGCTTCCAGAAAGGTTTCTAGGGAGGTGGGAAACCACTCATTTAATATATTAGAAAGCTGGTGATAAAACAGTTCTTCAAAATGTCATTTATTTACAGAGCCCTGGGTTTCTTCCACTCTTGTATTCAATTAACCTTGAGGCAATGCTTTACACAGCTGAGCACCTTTTCAAGCTTTTAAAACTGTCCTTCCACACATGCTACAACTATGATTCACATCCAGTTGTACTGTTAGATTACATAACAAAAAACTCCACGATAGTATTTTCTCATTATAAAAGGAGAAAAATCAGAAAATAAGGAAAAATAAAAGATAGAGCAAATAACATTTACCAGACTATACTTCTGTCCTTGATATAAAATTGAGGCTTGACATTTTAATTAAGAGTATAGTTTAAATTCTTTTCTTTTGGCAGCTGGCTCATATGGGGATAGTTTAAATTCTTACCCAGTTAAAACTACTGTAAGGTTATAAGTTCCAGGAACAAGTAATCTGTGAAAATCACCAAATCTGCCTGTTGTGATATTATGATTAATACCAGCCACTGAGACAGTTGCATTCTCTAAACCAGATCCTGTAACCGAATCTTTAACAAATCCTTTAACTCCAATATGGACCTAAAAAAAAAAAAAAAAGAATCAAAGATCAGAGACAATTAATTCAGAAAGCAAGAAAGCATTATTTCCCTCTGCATTGATGCTAGGATTTCTAAAAACTATGGTTACTTCTCTATCTCCCCTAAACATTTTCCAATCCCTTGAAATAATATGTAGACAAAAGTATTAAATCTTTAAACTTAAGTCATACATGTCTGAACTCTCCACTAGTAAGGTGCTTTTGAAATTCCCTATCCTCAAAGCCAGGCTTCTAATTTTATCAACAAGGTATAATTTCTGGTATATACAACAGCTGTACTAGCCTGTCTGATGTTTAAATTAAAAGATGTCCATGGTTCATACAGTGGTAAAGACTCTCTAGCAAATATAATCACATGACATTGTAAGAACCTGTGTACAAATTTGGCTAATTATTTCAGTTTGTAAAAACAGGCAAATGGAGCCCTGTGAAGCAGAGCACTGGGGGTGAAGGACAGGCAAGGTAGAGCTAGAATTTTTTTCTAATTTAAAAATTTTTTTCTAGAGCAAGCACATTTCCTGATATAGAATATATTTTAATAAATCATAATCTAATAATCACTAAAGGTAATCTATAATCTTAAATAATACAAACAGATAAATAAAATAAAGGATATCTAATATAAACCAAATTTCCCCCTTACTTAATCCATCATTTCTATAGCCCAAACTTCCAGTCATCTACTTTTACCTTTTCAATCAATGTGATCAAAGACTCACGATTGTTCTCCCATTCCTGTTGAAGCTGTGAAGCAGGTGGGTACTTGCAACAAGACAGTTCTAATGTGATCTCAAAACAGTTGGCCCACACATAATTGTAATCTTGCATACCACCTGTAACATGAAGGAAAAATAAGTGTATTCTCAGAAGGAACGAAATTCTCCAAAAACCTTGAAGAAATTAAATCAACCATCTCTGCATGTATAAATTTTCTTTTCATTAAATTGCTTGAAACTGGGCCGGCCCAGTGGCGCACTGCTACAGTGTGCCGCTTGGGAAGCGCAGTGGTGCTCCCGCCGAGGGTTCGGATCCCACATACAGACCAGCCGCTCACTGGCTGAGCGAGGTGCGGGAGCAACACTGAGGGTTGTGATCCCGTTGCCGGTCCCGGTCCGGTACGGGCGCAACACTGAGGGTTGCGATCCGTTGCCGGTCACGAAAAAAGACAAAAAAAAAATGGGGAAAAAAAATTGCTTGAAACTGAAGAAGCCTCTTGAATTACAGAGAAAACGAAGAAGGAAGGTTAAAGGAAATACATTGAAAAGGAATATACATAAAGTAAACACACTTAACTGATAGGATGAACAGTTACGAAGAGTATGAATACATCAGTTAATAACAATAACTATAATGATCATAGGTCTACATTTGAGTGTTTACTATATGCCAGAACCTGTTCTAAGAGCTTTATGTGTATTAACATTTAATCTTTACAAAATTATATGAGGTAGGTATTTCAGTCATTTTACAGATGTAAGAAGTGAGGTACAAAGAGGTTAAGATTTATAACAGAATGACAATGAAGGATATACATTGTATTAGTCCGTTTCTGTTGCTTATAACAAAATACATGGAACTGGGTATTTTATAAAGAAAATAAAACTTATTGCTTACAGTTTCTGAGGCTGGGAAGTCCAAAGTCCATCTGGTGATGGTGACAGTGACCCAGGGGTCTCACATTACAAGATGGTGGAAGCAGAGAGAGCAGAGACAAAGACAAACTCTCTTCTTTGAAAGTCTGACCACCATTTTTAATCCTTTCACTACAGTATGGTCCCACAATCTAAGCCCCTCTTCAAGGTTCCACATTTCAATTACCATAATAGGATTTCCCACCCTCTTAACAGTCACAGTGGGGGCTAAGTTTCTACTACATAAAACTTCAGGGACACAATTCAAACTTCAGGGGGTTTGGGGGGAACATAATTCATGCCAAAGCATGATTAAGTACCTACTATTCTAATTGTACTCCCCTTTATCAAGAAAGTGGCAAGTGAAAAATGAGAGACTATATCTAGGGGGCACAGCTATACAAATCGGGGAAAAATAAAAGACACAAAAAACTTTCAAAATGTGTTTAATGGAAGATGGAATTAAGAGGAGAATTAGTATCCATGATGAACCCCTTCACCACTTTTACATCTATACTCATATAAGGCCGCACACTCATTTTGTACAAAGCCTATCATTCCTGTCACTCAATTTCCTCATATCTAGGTTTGGCTCCATCAAAACCCACTATTCATTAGAATCCTGGATATACCTATGCCTGGCAAGGAGGATTCTTTCCCCCAACCCTCTCCAAAGAGATTTTTTTTTCCCCCTCTGACAGGGCAAAGTACAAATGTGAATTTTAAGGGTCATTTTTCCCCAGCCCCCAGTGCATCTCATATGATGTTACAGAGGATCCTTCAGATCGGAACGGAGGAGAATGATTTCCTTCAGTGACTTAGCACCAACAGATAGTTTTGAGTCATAGGTTATTCCACTACTCACTGGCTGAGAACCCTTTAGCATTCACGTGGGTCTTTACTTGTTGCAAAGTGAGGATTAGATGATCACAAAGGACCTTCCAACTCTCAGATTCTATGGTGATTAAAATACTTGTTAATGTGATTATAAGAGAAAAGGCAGGGAGATAATGCTTGGGGGAAAAAAAGACAATTCTGAAACTTGCGTCTGAAGAAAAGTCAATGTCACAGTCTAAAAAGCACAGTTTATTAGGAGTTCATCAAAGAACGGGCATAGAAAATAGTAAAGAAAAGCAAAGAGAGCAAAATTAACAAAACTTTGCCAGAAATAAAATAGTAGCAATGTTACTGAAACCTGAACTCTTAATCTCATTTCTGATGAAGTTTCATTATATGCTTTGAGAAACATCTAGCTCTTGAAACATGTTTACCTTACCTAACACAACATGCTTCATTTCATTGATATATTTGCAGAATATTGTTGGGACAAAAAAGCCAGGTTAAAAAAGCTAGGTAAAGCATAAAAAATTAATAAAGAAGAAATTGAGCAAAGAACATTTAAAAAATCCAGGACTCTGTTAATTCCAACCGATGCTGTTTTTAAAAATACGAAGAAGAAACAAACACAATCCAAAATTACCCGAGTAGGATCACATTTATGCTGGTGATGTGCAGTCTAATCTCAGGATACATGAGGGAGATTATCAAATTATATTCATGTTCATGCATGTTAATCAAACATCAGTAAGGCCAAGTTTTTGTTTACAATCTAGAGGAAGAGACAACTATATCCATAAACAATTAATATAAACATGATAATAGAGGACTGGGGTATGGTTATACAACAATGTGAATGTACTTGATGCCAGTGAACTGTACATTTAAAAACTGTTAAAATGGTAAATTTTATATTACCTGTATGTATACTGTACCATAATAAAAAATAACATCCCTGTACCGGCCAGGCACACACACACACAAAGTAATAATAATAATAATAATAATAATAATAATAATAATAATAATAATAATAATAATAATAATAATAATAATAATAATAATAATAATAATAATAATAATAATAATAATAATAATAATAATAATAATAATAATAATAATAATAATAATAATAATAATAATAATAATAATAATAATAATAATAATAATAATAATAATAATAATAATAATAATAATAATAACATTATGGGCCCATACTACTAGTTCCAATTTTAGGGTCAAGGGAAGATCTAGAAAGGCTTCCTGGGGAAGGCGGTTTTGTGGTCAGGTCTTAAAGAAAAATGGGTAGAACTATGAGTCAAAAAAGGGACATGGGGGTTCAGGAGCACTCTAGTCAGAGGAAATGGCTTTGTAAAGGTGTATGGTAGGAAGGCCTGATATATGCTGATGAACGGCAATAAGGGTGCTAAGGCCACAACATTAGGGCAGAAGCACAGGGCTTCAGGGATGTAGTGAAAGGTCAGGCTAAGATAAACATGGTCTAAAAGGCTGGGAGAGGGCCGAGCCCGTGGCGCACTCGGGAGAGTGCGGCACTGGGAGCGCAGCAGCGCTCCCACCGCGGGTACCGGCGCGCTCACAGCGCTCACTGGCTGAGCGCGGTGCAGCCGGTCTCAAAAAGGACAAAAAAAATAAAAAAAAAATAAATAAAAGGCTGGGGGGATAAAGGGTTCTTTGGCTTTCCAAGGCATAAAAAAAAAAAAAAGACTATATTTTGTTTGCTTGTTTGTTTTGAACAGAAAAGCAGCATGATGGATAGAAAGTAGCATGGTCTGGAGAGGAGAGAGATTAGAAGCAAAAAGCCCACTTAGGCAGTTTTTATGAGGTAACTTTAAAAAGAAAATGGAAAGATTCATATTATCTTTCTTTTTTATCTTGTATTTTATGATTGTCTGTGTCTAATTCTTCAAACAGACTCTGAGTTCACTGGGGTTTTTTTTGTTTTGCTTTGGTTTGGGTTTTTTTTTTTTTTTTGCAGCTAGCTTGTATGAGGATCCAAACCCTTGACCCTGGTGTTACAACACCATGCTCTAACCAACTGAACAACCAACCAGCCAGCCCTCATATTATCTTTCAATTATATTTTTCCACAGCCTTTTTGAAGTACCCTCATACAATGCTCCAAGTGAAAATTAGGCCTCAAACGAGGTGATGGCAACTGTGTGGACAGGAAGGGAAGGATGCAAGATAAGACACTGACAGTATCTGATAAATGGTGGGAGTTGAAGGAAAGAAAGGAATCAAAGAGGGCCTTTGGCCTGATTGATTGTGCTAATGATGATGCCATTAATAGAGAGAAGGAACAAGGTTTGGAAGAGTAACTGAGCAGAGAGGAGTATGACAATTTTTGTTTGGGGCATGTTAAGTTTCAGGTATTTGCAGAACATTTAGATAGAAATACCCATAATGAAATTTAAAATACCAGTTTGGAGCTTGGGGAAAGGGGCAGTCCTTCTCAAAAAATGATAATTTAAGACTAGAAAGTTCAGTTTTCATTCAGCAAACATCTATTGATCTCTTACTATATGCCAGGCACTGTTCTAGGTGGTTGGGGATACAGTGATAAACAAAACAGACAAGGTCCCTGTACTCACATAACTTAAATTCTTATATGGGAGAGGCAGAGAGTGAACAAAAATAAACAAGAACAGTATCAGATAGTGAGAAATACTGTGTAGAAAATTTAAATAGAGTGATATGATAACTAGTGACTGGTGGTGACTAGAGATTAAGTGGTCAGGAAAAGCCTTTGTGAGGAGGTCATGTTAAGCCAAGATCTGAAAAACAAGATGGAGCCAGCCTGGTAAAAGTCAGAGAGAAGAATGTTCCAGGCAGAGGGAAAAAGCTTGGTGAGTTTGAGGAATGGAAAAAAGGGTATACCGTGGCTGGACAATAATGGACAAAGGAAGAGGAGGTGGAGAGAGATGGGCAAAACAAGATAATATAAGGCTTTGGCAGCCTGGGTAAGAAGTTTGGAATTTTATTCTAAGTGGAATAGGAACCATTAGAGGGTTATTGTTTTGGTTTTATTGTGTTTTTAAAAAAAACATAAAATTTATCACCTTAATAATTTTTAAGTGCACAGTACAATAGTATTAACTACATTCACATTGTTGTGTAACAGATCTCTAGAACTTTTTCTTTTTGCAAAACTGAAACTCTATATCCATCGAATAACTCCCCGCCCCAACCAGCCCTTGGTAACCCACCATTCTACTTTCTGTTTCTAAGAGTTTGACTACTTTAGATACCTCATATAAGAGGAAGCATGCAATATTTTGTCTTTTTGTGACTGGCTTATTTCACTTAGCATAATGTCCTCAAGGTTCATCCATGTTGTAGCATAC